GCATCTATCCTCAGAGGTTGCCTGCCATAGATGCAAGCGAAACGTCAGGAGAGAATACTTCTAGAACATGGCCATATAATCCAAAAAACCTACAACAACCCAGTTTTTGACAGGGTTTATAGAGAGTAGAGTGTAGCCTTCATGTCTTATCCAAAATTAAATATAGGCATATGTAAGTTACTAACAGGGCTACCTGTAGTCCTATAAGTTTAACAGCAGGATTAAAAACACAAACACAACTTGGTAACTCCAAGTTTAACTCCTAAAATATCAGGATAAAAATTACATTGAATAATTTTCAGACCCCTCCCTCAAAATAGGGCCAGTGCATTGACAGCTAGCAATATAGTCACCAATAAGGCCAGGATCAGGAGTATTTAGAGTTAGATTTCAGATTACATGTTTCTTTTCTGAACTAAAAAAAAACTCCAATGTGCCAAACATTGACAAGTAAAATATGGAACTTCTGTATCTCCGCATCATAGTTTCCCAAAAGCCAGCAAAGGACATTTTGTCCCAATATCTTGCTTTGTTTGGAATAACAAAAAAGAGATTTTAGTGGCAGAAATGACTTTCCTTTGTTGGAAAAAATGGGTATGGGAAATGACTGAGATGTTGAGATTTTTTGCAACTCAGTAGGAAACAGTGCTACATAATGTCTATGTTCTATAAGGATTCTGCCTCCTGACGCAAGGAATCATAGGGTTGGAAGAAATCGCATGGGCCATCTAGTCCAACCCCCTGCCATGCAGGAAAAGCACAATCAAAGCACCCCAACAGATGGATTAGACTCCAGTCTCCTGGTGCAGTTCTTGGCTTCTAACTCATCTTGTAGAGTTACATACGCTTGCGTCTTGGCAGACAATTCTCTATGCCATTTTAAAGGTCTAGCATGGTAACTGGGGAGCTCTAGGAGTGTATCATAGAATAATAGAGTTGGAAGATGAGGATGCTTGCCATAGATGCAGGTGAAACGTCAGGAGAGAATGCTTCTAGAACATGGCCATATAGCCCGAAAAACCTACAACAACTTGGTGGGGAGTAGCTCAATAAAAATGGAGAAAAATTTGCTTTATGTTTGTATGTGGATGTCATTCACATCAACTTAAGCGGATTTGTACTAGAGGAATTCTCCAATCTGAAAACTACATACAAAAATGCATAGACTAGTGAACATAACATTCAATCATGCAGTATATTGGGAAGAATGTGCTGAAAAACATATGTGAATTTTCTTGCAATCTTTTAAAAAAATCAAATGTGAAGTGAATGTAATTTAAGGCTAGAAAAATGAGAAAGTTGGAGTAACTAAGATTGACAGATCTTTTTCTATTCAGTAGGCTCATTTCTACTCAATAGGCATAAAGCTGTGAAAATTGAGAAACAACTGGAAGTCTCTTGTGACTTATCTAGAATCATAGAATGGGATCCCTGCTGCGTATATTGAGCTTGAAAATTATTGACAAAATCAACTGAGAACGTCTCCTGAGCAAACCCCTACTTTAAACATGTGGTTGATAATTACTTTATTGCTTTTGAAGATCCTTACCTTAATTCTAGTCTTGATTGAACACATGGTATTTCTCTGGTTTTGCAATGAAAGCACTTCTTTTAAATACCTGAAATGTTTATGCAAATATATATATATATATATATATATATATATATATATATATATAAAAAACTCTGCACTTTCTAGCAAAAGCTGGCTTTTTTACATGTTTGTCTGGTGACTTAGGATACAGATGGCTGAAAGGTTTGTGTGTGGGTAGGATTTCAGGTATATTTTTCCTTTCCTTCTGGAAATATACATATATACAGATTTTAACAGTAGAAATTCAGTTATAGTTTTCATTTCCTTCTGAGATATACAGATATCCCAGAGAATTTGCAACTTTTTACTGCCTCTGCAGTACACATATGAATGACCCCTCCCCAGTCTCGGGAACAGTTTTCCCACCTTGATTACCTTTAAAGTATTGGACTGAAACTCATGTCTATGCTAACTATGATGAGAATTATCATTGAGAGAGCCCGTCATTGCAGAAGGGTGTCTGATTACAGAAGATTTTGAAATCTTCTATCTTGTAAAACTGCATTGGTAATTCTGTTTGCATAATTACAGAAAGGATTTTTTTTTTTTGCTGGAAAACAGTACACAATAATTTCTCTTTTTGTTTTCTTTATTAGTATAGGATTTCCTCCTAATTTTCCAATTCCTATGGGTTAAAAAATACCCAGAAAACCCAACAATTACAATGTTTAAAATAGAGAAGGAGGGTTACTGAAACAAGATGAATAAAGGTTTAACTCCACCCGGGATTATCATAAGCTCATTTAAAACAATACATTACAAAGGGAGATCTTGCTGGTTGCAGTCATCTTTCTGAGGTCTTTGAAAGTCTCTCTTGCCTCTGGTGCAAAGAGATGGATTATAAGTTGTTGCTTGCAAACTGTCTTAATCTTCTCTCCTGTGAAGCTTAGGCTGGCCAGAAGCTTATGTTGTCCTTTGGACTGTTGGTACAATAATACTGCTAAATGCAGCTGGTGCTAAGAATTCCTGTTTGGCATTCTTCACCTGGACTGTGGCGCAGCTGGCTGGGAGTTAGTTGCATTAAGATCACTACTGACCAAAAGGTCATAAGTTCGAAGCCAGCCCAGGTCGGAGTGGGCTCCCGACCAAAATTGTGTAGCTTATTGTTGACCTTTGCAGCCCGAAAGACAGTTGCATTTGTCAAGTAGGAAATTTAGGTACCACTTATGTGGGGAGACTAATTTAACTGATTTACGAGGCCATAAAAAATCTCCAGGAAGTATGCAAAGAACGAGGAAAGTACTTCATCAGTGTCACAAACGGACGGTGAAGCAACAGCTCCCCTGGTGGCCAGAAGCTGGAATGTTAAATAGCCTCTGAGTGTCTGTCTATATATGTTGTGTGTCTATATCATTGAATATTTGCCATGTATATGTACATTGTAATCCGCCCTGAGTCCCCTGCGGGGTGAGAAGGGTGGAATATAAATACTTTAAATAAATAAATAAATAAATAAATAAATAAATAAATAAATAAGGCCTAGGATTCCAAACAATATCCAAGCCTCTAGTGACTGTAGAAAAGAGAGGAGTCCAGCAAGAGAGCTCTATACAGGAAATGGAATAGACCAACTAAGACTGGCTGGTGGGGAGATTTTAAGCTCCACCATAAACTAATACAAAGGAAGGTCTATTGGGAAGGCCTATAAACAGGAGGAACTAAAGGAAAGGCAGAACCAAGACTTCACACGCCCACCTACACCTAGCAAAATTAGTAAAATAAAATAAGGACTATAAGGAAGGTATTTAAGAAAATAGATTGGAATTCTCAAAGGCACTGAGATAGAACATGGAGATAGCTAGCACACAGTATCTCTCGCTTAACACCAGGACACCTCAGAAAAATGGAGGAACCCACTCTGGTATATATAGACCAGTTTTTTAAAAAAGACACATGATCCTTTCTTCTTCTAATTGGCTCTGGCAAAGCCAATGGGGGAAAAACCCATGCGTGGCTCCTCTTGTCAATCACGGAGCAGCCTAATCTCCCAAATGTAGCCAAAATATCCTCTGGCTGCTCCCATCTGGCGGCCCTTGCCCTGTCAATTTTTGGCGGTCCAACCTAATTTTCCCAAATCGTGAAAAGGAGTCATGCACAGTCCTAATTACTAGTGTGGCTCCCTAGTAAGGCCTTTAAAGCATTAGGAAACTAACACTCTTAAAGAGCTTGATGTCCATGCTGCTGTTGACCGCTCTTGAAGAATAATCTTGTGTACTAGGATTTCTCAAAAATGCAGTGCTCTCAGGGTTGTAGAGTTCTTGTTAAAAGGAGGTGGAATTCCTAGAAAACTACATTTCCTAGGGACATTGGCATCTAATAAATGCTGCAGCAGTTGCTTCTTCCTGTTACTGCCTGGTGAATGGAAGAGAAACGGAAGGGATGGAGCATTAGAAACACATTGAAATGTCCAGGAGTTTAAGCATAGGCCGTAATTATTACAGATATTCTAAATTGTTAAAGTTCATATTCCATATTCTCCAGTTTCTAACATCAACTGCATTGCTTTGTTTGTCTTCATTGCAACTTACATCCTGACATTCCCAGACTGCATAATCTTGCCTTCAATGTTCTGTCACCAGATGTTACAGCACAGGGTGGATACTTAGAGTTTAATAAGCTGCGTCTTTGGAGTCTATTAAATTAGTATGCTTTCATGTTTCAGTAGCTGGATCAAGCCCTAAGCCCTTTTTAAAAAGTCTTTGTATTTCTTTCTCTGCCATCTAAATGCAATTTTCATAGTGAAGGAATGAAGTATTCACTTCCCTGTCAAAACTAGGAGCTGTCATTCTGAAAATCGCTTTATTTCAGTATGTTATCTCTCTCATGCAACCTAAAAAAGAAAGATGCGTTTATCTGATTCATAAAAAAATAAAACAGGATCATCTGTCTTAATAGTTTATGGGCACTGCATTTTTAATATCACTCAGAGATAAGTTCAGTATCCTGGTCCATATTTAACATTACATTGATTAAATTAAAATTTAATGTTGTTTGTAAGCTTCTCTTCACTTGTATGTAAGGAGGAGGAAGATGAATAGTCTTCTTTCTTATGCAAGGCTCCTATTTAAAGTATCTGTTTTTTTGAATGTACATTTATCATTTCAGAGATTAGCAAGGTTGTTTCATTGTGGCAGGAGCCTTATAATTACTGTGCAAATTTCAGGGGAATGCATAGTCCCATGAGCAAACATTTGCGAATTCCGATATTAGAGAAGCCAATTCAGACTTGGAGGTATGACTATAAGTTCAATTATTTAGTTCTATTTTGCCTGAAATTCTTTGATAATTTTGAAAGTCACCATACGCCCACAAGATGTGCACATACACACAGAGACAGAGAGGAGAGAGAGAGATTGCATGCATTTTATAATGGAAGAAAATCGCTTCTTTGTTTTGCTCTTCCTAGGCCTTTCATAGTGCTGCCGCCTCTGATGGAATGGATAAGAGTCGCTCTGGCTCACGCAGGGCATCGGCGCAGTTTCTCCATTGACAGCGATGATGTACGGCAAGCGGCCAGGCTTTTGCTACCCGGAGTTGACTGTGAACCTCGGCAGTTAAAGTAAGTCGGTACAAAGCAATGATATGATTCGATAAAACAGTCGCTGTAGCTTAACAAGCAGGGTAAAGGGCTCACTTACATATCCAGAATGCAGATTTGAAAGTTGTGTTCCTTCTTCTTCTTTTTGTATCATATAGCTCAGAAAAATCGATAATGGAATTTCCTTTACAAGGTTGTTTGAGCTAGTTTTGGATTCCGCGAGGCTTACATGCATGCATGTTTAAAAGGGCTGGATCACGCTCTAAGCCTTCCTTTTGAATTCTGTTTGCATTTTCTCCTGTTCTGCCATCAGTTGCTGTTTTCATAATGAGAGACTGAAGTGTTCATCTAATTATCTCAGTCTTCTTATGCTCCTCCGCAAAATTTGGAGGTGTTATTTAAAGGGTTGCAAAACCAGCTTCTCTCCCTTGCCTTCTGCAGCCGTAGTGTGAAGAGCATATTTGGCACTAAGAAGTACTTCCAGCTCCTGCTGTAAACATTCTGGGATTTAAAAATGCCGAAATCGTATGTTGCTAGATGTTTTTGGTACATACGTTTGGTAGAATTAATTATGAAACACTGCTATTTTGTGCATAGTGATTTGCTGATGCTGCTGTGAATAAGTATATTCTGTATATGTATTGTATAACAATAATAATACCAAAACATAGCAGTAAAAAAAGATCCTTCATCTCAAAAGATTTTTTAAAAATATTTTTGCATTGTGTGTATGGGATGATTTATGCTTGGCATTGTAAGCCTGTCAAGGCAGAAATTAGTTATCTGGTTGCCTAGTAGCTTCATACCAGAGTCTGACAATCCTCAGGCTTTCCCTTGGAAACTGGTGAATTCAAACCCAATTGCACATACAGTATATTTTTTTCAGTGCCTTCACAATCAGTTCCAAAATATGTTTTCATTATATGCAAAAAGGATGGCATGCATACCCCTTGGTATAGCAACCTGTGTATTAGTGGATTCTGATGTTTCTTGCAGCAGTGCAAAAAAAAAAAAAAGACTATGCTTTTCAGATGTGTATGCAACTAACTAGCTATGAGAGTATGATACTGATTGACTTTCCTGAAATCCCTTATTTTAAGTGGCATCATAGATAAATGTGCTGCCTCTTTCTTCAGTCTGGAAGTTCCAAAGGGAAATAAGAGACATCCCTTTTTTTTTTTAATGCCTCTACTTATTTTTGGCATGTTGCTCTGGCAACTATATCAAAGACATGTCCTTCAGCCCTGCTCTTGTTCCACTTCTTACGTACTCTTAACACATTTAATTGACAATTCAGTAAACCTTTTTTAAAAAAAAAATTGTAGACATTACTTTCTTCAAAAGGGATGTATTCCATAAAATGATACCATATTTCAAATATCGACCACTCATCTTTATGTCAAAAGTGAGGAATCTTAGGCCTTTCAATGACAGAAACCTCCTCCAATATTGCTAAAGGTAAAAGATAGTGGAAGTTATAGCTCTAAGGATGCATCTACACCAGGGGTCCTCGAACTAAGGCCCGGGGGCTGGATACGAACCTCCACGGTCATTTACCCGACCCTTGCTCAGGGTCTACTTAAGTCTGAAATGACTTGAAAACACAACAACAACAACAACAACAACAACAACAACAACAATCTTATCTCATCAGTCAAATGCAGACCCACACTTTCCATTGAAATACTAATAAGTTCTTTATTTTAATTATTGTATTGCTTTAAAGGGTGTTTTTTTGCACTACAAATAAGATATTTGCAGTGTGCATAGGAATTCATTCTTTTTTTCTCCACATTATAATCTGGCCCTTCAACAATTTGAGGGACTGTGACCTGGCCCTCTGTTTAAAAAGTTTGTGGACCCCTGATCTACACTATAGGCTTAATGCAATTGAGTTCTAAAAGTTCTACAACAGCTGAAAATCTACGTGGGTGTTATTCTTGGCATCATTATGAAAACAAGCTGTTTTAACTGTGTTTAACTATGTTTATTGTTTTATCCTTAATTTATTGTGTTTTGATTTTGATTTGCAGGGTTCTGATTGATATTATGATATTTTGTGTTGTGACCTGCCTAGGGTCCCTTTGTGGAGAGGGGGCAGAATATAAACAAAGTTTCTTTTTATATATTTGTATATTTTAACACCATTTTAACTGCCATGGCATAATTCTATGGAATCATGGGAGTTATTGTTCAGTGAATTGGAAAAAGGCTGAAGACATTATAAAACTACAGCTCCTCTTATTCCATAGCATTGTTCCTTGGCTGCATTAATTCTACAGTAGATGCACCCCAAAATGAAGAATTCAAAAACAGATACAGATTCTTCCAAAAGAGCTTGGAGAAACTCCCAGTGGTCTGGGTGGCTGAAGGATTGAAGAAGTCCAAAACTAACTCCTCCAAATTTTGGGTAGATTGCGGTGCTAGAGTGTTGGTTTCATGGTTCTTAGTTCTTGCCATCTCCAGGCATGGCTAGAACACTTTCCTCTGAAATTATGGAATACAGCTTCTGAAACTGCACATATTAGAGAAATCTATGAACCACTGATCTATATATAAAGCTATGTTTATGATACTGATGAAAAGTAACTTTTTTTCAGGATTTCAGGTAACCTGCATCTTTTTCCTCTGGTTGCTCTTTGATTCCACCTTATAGTTGGCTCTTCAGTCTTTCCTACTGGTGCAACCTTTGATTGTTTCTCTTCAGCTGGGTTGGGTTCAGAACTAACACTTGGCTTGATTCCTTGGTCCCACCTACACTGCCATATAAAATCCAGATTATCCACTTTGAATTGGAATATATGGCAGTGTAGACTCGTATACACTGGTTTATCTGCTTTGATAATCTGGATTATGTAGCAGTGCAGATCCTGCCCCTGACCCCAGACTCCTAGTGCAGTTCTCGGTTCCTAACTCATTTTGAACAGTTGCATACACTTGAGTCTTGACAGACTCTTCTTGGTGTCATTTTGATGGTCTAGCATGGCATTTGGGGAGCTCTTGGAGTGAATCAAACCAGTTGCAGATGCTAATAAATTACCGCGTTGATTGGCAAAACATTCTGCCATAACCTGAACATCCAGGTCCATCACAAGTTTTGACTAGGACAGAATTCAACAACAGTTTTAAAAGTCTATATATGTGTTACTCTTGGCATCATTGTGAAAACAACCTTAAAGCTTCTTTGATGTGTTTGTGTGCTTTTTAAAAGAAATGTGTCCTGGATATCACTTCTGAAAATGATTTTCCTCAAATGTACAACCAAACATTTTTATGAGTTACGCACTTAACAAACTTTTTTTAAATGAATTCATCATTTACATATGAATGTTGCTGACAATTCTAGGCACATCTTGTGAATGGTGTCAGACACTGCTGTGTGGCCCATTTATACATTATGTGCTGGTGATTGCTGACAGTCTAATTAGATGACAACCATCAGTAATATATTGCTGAGCTTTCACAACATTAGTCTTAGGTTGTCAGCCTCAAAATGATAATACTGATATTCATCAAAAATCAGGCTATTGCTGTAATACATATATGGGAAATCTATGGTCCTCCAAACGTTGTCGGATTCCACAGCTTGGGCTGTTTTTGTAAATGGTGGAAGTCGTAAACCCAGTAATATTTAGGAGGCCACCATTTTTTAAAATGCTAAATAGCAGAACTTAGAAAGGTTACTGGAAAAGCTAACACAATAGCACTTGCTTTCACATTATGTTTTAAAAATAATTTGCTGTGTTGCCTGCAAAAAAAATTACAATGTTCACTGCTCATTAGCAATGCTTTACTGTCATATTGCAGTACTTCCAAATTACTGGGTGTTTTTTTAAAAAATGAGAAAAGCTAATAGAAATACTAATAATTACTTCCAAATCCCAAAATAATCTTCAAAAATAATGTTTGGAGCATTATTGGTAACAAGTAGCAAATACCATGTTATTTTGTTTCACTCCTCAACTCAAAACTATATCCACGGCGCTGATGTTGATGACTTATAAATGCTTTAAAGCAGTGGTTCTCAACCTGGGGTCCCCAGATGTTTTTGGCCTACAACTCCCAGAAATTCCAGCCAATTTACCAGCTGTTAGGATTTCTGGGAGTTGAAGATGAAAACATCTGGGGACCCACAGGTTGAGAACTGGTGCTTTAAAGTGATTGTGCTGGCATCCATTGCTAAAAAAATACTTTTAATGTAGCATATTGTGTCCAGGCTCTATTAAATGCTAGGCAGAGGGAATCAGTATCAGACCACATGTTTTGAAGGCAGAAGATTCCAAGTGTTTCCAGTTTAAAAGGCTAGAGGAGTTTATTTGCCAGTGAGTTGCTTCTGGCCTAAGTAAATACTAGCTTGGAGCAGCAGGATGGAGAAATCCTGTGCCAAGATGTGAGAGGTGGCTTCCACTTTGTACCTTTGGCTTCTTTTTTATGATAAAAGACAGCAGTTAATAGACTTCCATGGGGTTTAAACAATCACACCACCTAATTTAAGAAGATTACAGTGCTAAGGACAGAACAAAGATCTCCGAGGCATGACTTGAAAGGGCCTTTCTTAATGCTGCTCCAAACTATGTGACATTTGGGATTGATTCCCACACATGCCCTCTTGATTAATGGAGAATGTATTTAAATCAATGGATGGGCTTGGTGTGCAGTCTTCTCTATTGTGTTATAGCTTCATTTCCATTGAAGCCCCCAGTGGTGCAATGGGTTAAACCCTTGTGCTGGCAGGACTGCTGACCAAAAGGTCAGCGGTTCAAATCCGGGAAGTGGGGTGAGCTCCAGTCTGTCACCTCCAGCTTCTCATGCAGGGACATGAGAGAAGCCTCTCACAGGATGGTAAAACATCCAGATGTCCCCCTGGGCAATGTCCTTGCAGACGGCCAATTCTCTCACACCAGAAGTAACTTGCAGTTTTTCAAGTCACTCCTGACACACACAAAAAATTCAATTGAATCTATTTTAATCCTGAAGTGGAAGCATCTTGGTAGACAATCTTTGAGATCCAATAGTAAAAG